ACAAAACGACAATACAGTATCTATAAATATCATTCAACTTACAATAACGTTTAAATTTAATTTCAAATTGTAATAATCTCACAATTATAATTAAAAGTAATGAGCAATACAAAATTTTGTATTGTTAAATATTTATTTACGAAATATTTTAATTTCTTTTTTGAGAGGGGGCTGCGACCTCCCCGAACCCCCCCTACTTCCTGTGCCTCACGCACCATCCCATAAGTCACACTCGCTTCGCTCGTGCGATTTTATGATTGTATAACATATAACTAACACAGTGCACTCGTGATAAAAAAATCTATGTGCAACTCATGTGCTATAATTGTCTATAACGCGACGCGGGCGCGGGGGAGCGCACTCGCTTCGCTCGTGCGCTCCCGCACCCGCGTCGCACAAAGAACAACTAAAACACATGTTACACAATGTTCTATTATATTTCAACGTTGTACATGAAAGTATTGCGTACTTTGTATTTAAAACTGAAAGGTTGAAAGCTTTATGTATTTCGTAATTTAAATAATAACATCAATCTTCAGTATTTAAAATACAAAATACTTTCAATCTTTTATTATTAATACTGAAATATAAAATACTTTTATATACTTCCATAAAATATAAAATGCAAAATATTTTTATGTACTCCGCTGAAATACAAAATACAATTGTCTTACAAATACCGTTTTCAAATAAAAGTATTTTAAATACATGTCAGCCCTGTTAATGGGCATCACTTTCTGCGCATGAAAATATTTCATGTAGCTCAAGTTTAAAAAGAAAATGTTATTTAAATTTTAATTGTAAAATGTTATTTACCACAATTAGCGGACGCATCCGATTGGAGCAGTCCATTTTTTCCTTGGCCAAAGGCGTTTTTTTCTACTCAATATAGAAAGTAACGCATACATTTATACCTAGCGTTACACATTCAGCTGATTCTTCGGAGAAAATAACCGAATTGTTCGATTCATCAATCAGTCGCACGCCAACAAAAAAAATTATCGCATATATTTCCTGTTTTTATCTCGACGCGATCGTCGTTCGCGCTTCATTTCCACTCCGTCAGAATTCGAAGATATATGTCCTGCCGTATCAAGGGCAAGATCACAGAAACAATTCTAAGGCTTATTATAGTCACGTCCTATCGCGATACTTTAGTTTACCGTTAAATACAAGTGGAATCCGGATGTTGGCTAGCGGACTTCCTTGTTTTTTTCGGTTCTTTTGTTGTTAATTCCTGAGACGGTCTGCGCGGGCTGCCTAGCGTCACCAAAGCAGACGCCACGGCTAAACCAGCGCTCTGTCCGGCTGGCGTATAAGACTCGCCGCCAGTCGGCAACCTGACTAGCAGAGACAGAACCGCCGCTCTGTTGCCACAACAAGGCTCCAGTGCGATCGGACTAGGAGCATTCTGCACAAAAAAAAAACTTAGTAAATAGATCTTACTCGACATTCTAATTGCAACAATTCGTATAAGAACAAAAAACTATTCAAATTGCTTGAAAAAATATGTAAGAATCTCTTCTAAAAGAAAATTCACTTTTTTTTACAATAAAATCATTTAATGTTAAATATGTTTAATAAAAAATATAGGCACAATTAAATATTTCATTAAAAATACATACATCTAAAAAAGATCATTTACCTTCTTCTTTTTACGACAATTAGTAAAGTCGGTGTCACCGCGTTCTGGATCAGAGTTGTCAACATCGCGTCTCTCAATTTCCACTAGAACTTGACTAAATGCTCTGCTAGCCATTTGCTCCATTTCTAGGAAAAGCCGTTGTCTTCGTCGATACATATCATATTTTTGCTTGATCTTCCAAAGAATGGCAGCCACCAATAGCAAAGCGAGGAAGCACCTGTGCGGTGGCATGTAATCTCTAGTTTACAAGTAAGTACTGCCTGAGGTTCAACATGGCAAAAAAAGTATGGAAATTGAAAAAATAAAGCGTAAATGGCCAACGGATCTTATTATCTTTCAAGATTACTTTTCATGCATCGCACTTAAAAATTTAACGTAATTTTAACTCGCTTTATTTTGAATTAAAAATTACTCCAAAGTCCGAATTGTAGTACTCACGTGCAAAATGTAATGAAAAACTGCTGTAAATTCAATTTGGAATATTGAGAGAACGAGATTTGGATCCACAGTGGCGGTTGAAAATCGTAGACATACACGTAAAATGTAGTGAGGGTATTGTTATCTTCGTTGCCGAAGTTATAATCTGCTTTGCTAAAACGATGTTTGTACATGGTCGTTGTGCAATTTGCGTTGGTAACCAATTTCACTTCGTCACTGTTTACTTTCTTGATGCTGACATTCATCTTGGCAAGCACGGAACATGTAATGGAGAATTCAGCATCAATATCGGCTTTCGGTGGCGAATTTTTGAAGTTGATTGCTCGATAGTGACGATCCTCCTTTTTGCTTAAATTAAATGTAAATTGATAGTCGATAGCCAAGTCATCTAAAACGCAAACGCATAATGATGAGAGCAATGGGATAATTTTATTAAAATACAGGTACTAAATCATAAAATAAAATGTATCAGTTAACTCACAGAAACAGGACCCTTTAGTAACCGTAGGATCTCCGTGATAGAGACCAGATACGTCACAACGCTCGCAGTGATCTCCTATGATACCTTTAGTTGTGCAGTAACATTTACCCGTTTCGCTTGTGCATAGAGTACCTTGATTGTTGCAGGAGCAAGCTGTAATAAGAGTGCACAAGTGTCATTAAAACATCTTTTTCTTGTTCATAACAGTTGCAAATGATAATGACATTAATGATATAATATGTAAAAAGAAAATATTACGTACGCTGACATGTAGCTCCATTGAGTGGACTACCATAAAAGCCAGGGATACATTTATCGCAGTGCGATCCATAAGTCAAGTTTCCGCATGGCTGAATGCATTCACTAGTATTTGGAAGACACCTACTGTGACCATTACACTGACAAGCTAAAAATTAAAGAAATCGAATTATAATCTTTAGTGAAACAGTGATATACGATATAAAAGGAGTTAAGATTTTACAAAAAAGTCTCACTTGGACATTTTGTGAAGTACCAATATTCAAGCAAACATTTGTTCGAGCTTTTGCTGCTAGGACCACGAGCTCCACCAGACATGCATGAACCTTTCCCAGTATCCGATCCGTCATCACACCAGCCGCAACCGGGATCTGATCGGCAAGCGGCGCATGACGAATAGAAACTGCACCATTCCCTGCCAGTTTCCGTGGCACGACACCGAGCATCTATCGTCGTCCATTCGCGACATTGTCCATATGGAAAACTGGCCGGATACGCATTTTTATCTACACATTTGGCTTCGTTTTGACACCAGATACAATCAGATTCTGTGCAATTGCGGCATGACATGTACTCTGCACATGGACTGCGGCACGGGTCCATCGTTAAACGCTGCGCTTGGATCGTACTGTTCAACACATTCACCTGTTTAAAAAATTAATAAGACTAATTATCACTTGTTCAATAATTGAATTCACTTATTTAATTATTTACTCGTTAATTCTTTTCAAGCTAAAATTGTCACAAAAAATATTCTCAATATTAAGTATCACATTTTAATTAAAATATATATTTATAATTATTTACATGTGGAATATTACAAAAAAATTATTTGTAATGAATATTTCGTGTTATTTAGCCATTTCGTAAGGTAATAAAATATACTCTCTCATACGTACCTCTCGAGTCTTTGATTGTGGTTTGCAACGATCAGGTCCATTAGACCACGACCAAATGCAACGCGGATTGCTGGAACAAGCATGACACGTGTGCAGTTGCAAGCACTCGATACCGGTGTTCTGATCACAATGCTCTAGTTCTGTGATGGCCGAATTCGGCGAATTTGGATTGTCCCGGCAACTCATGTGCAGGCAACTCTTGCCACACCACACACAATTGTACGAAGTTTGTACGCATGTGACGCAGTCGGTAAAGAGTTTACAAAGTTCTGCATGCGACGTCATACCACGCGGCGGCTTGTCATCCAGATTACATTTCATATAATCGCCGTCGTGTTCATCGTATTCCTTGTGGTTGAGCACGTGTTGCGGAATCTTTGTGATCTGCAGGCATCGATTATCTCGTTTATGCCACACACACTTTACGCCTATCCTGGCATTCAGGCACTGATTCTGATTCGTTAAATGCTCACAATTGCCAGGGGTATACCTACGCAATAACACAATCTCAACTTCCACAGATAAATAAGCAACTTTAAAATAAGATAAAATAATCGAACAAAAGAGCGTTTAAAACGAAATATATTAAATTGATACCTCAACATATCAGACAGCATTTCACCGTCAAAGCCGCCATAGATATACATCGACTTCTCGAAGACGGTTGCGCTGTGACCGTATCTTGGAAGATCGTTCATGTCTTTGGGCATGGTATACTGATGCCACGTATCGCATGTGACATCATAGCCAAGCGTATCGGCTGAGTAGCATCTCGCGCCGTGCGATTGCTGCGTGTCGTTGTGCACATTACCGCCAAACACCAACATCAGTCCGCTCGTGACAAAGGTGGCCGTATGAAAGAAACGTGCCGACGGCGCCGACGTAAGCAAACGCCATTCACAATAATTAGGGTGGTACGAGTACAGCCTACTGCTCAAAACATGCATACTTTGTGACTCCGACATGTAACCACCGTACACGTAAATGAGATTCGTAAGGGGATCGTACGCAGAACTGTGTCCATATCTACCCCTCACCGGAAAACCACTCGTCTTGACAATCTGCCACTCGCGCGTACTCAAAGAGTATTCCTGGACGGTGTTTAAGTAACCATATTGTGGCGAATAGCCGAATATCACAACCATCTTCTCCTTCTTGCCATGGCTTACCCGGGTCGCAGTGTGTCCAGCTACCTGTAAAAACAATTCGTAAAAATCAAAGACGGAATCCAGTTGAAAGTTGAAAAATAAAAATAGTAACATACGACGATTTTTGGTATAATTCAGGCAATTAAAGTTATGTATCAGAATGTTTTCGCGTATTTGATTATTAGAGACACAGTTAACATAACTAATAACATATAATATTATATATTGTGATGTAACGTTTTTCGCGTCCGTCACTTTTTCAACAATTAAAACATGCGGATCCTGCCTTCTCCCGGCTCGAGGGGGGGGGGGGGGGGGG